CTGAGATCTTTGACAAGCCAGATGCGAGAAAAATGTGAGAAAAAAAAAACATTAGAAGGTGGAAAACTTTAAAAGAAAGAATGAGACCAACCTGGATGAGAAGTTAAAAAATAGCCTGAGCTGGCCATTCGAGGCAGGAAGAAACAAAAACGGGGACAAAATGCTTATTGTGACTCAACGACCCAGACTGGGGGAGTCAGTCAGCATCGGGAGAGAATGGCAGGAAGGGCGTGCCGGGCCACTAATGGCCGTAATGAACTCAACCAATGGCATTTCCCCCCAAACGCATTGTGTTTACGCCGCCTGGTGCCAATTAAGAACAAGGAGTGGACATTGGCTCTCGGAGGCGGAAATGCTGTTTAAAAAATGCCCTTGTAGGGAAAAGATCCCCTGCTTCTGAGAAATGAGCGTCCGTTTGACTCTGAGTCATATTTTTGTTGAGTGTGAGAGGTCGAACGTGATGGTCAGGATAATGGTCCACCCCACTTCACGTTCCTCCGATTTGAATGCAGTTTGACGACTCAAAAATGTGACTACCCCTATGAAATTGAATTGAATCGTTAGCTAGCAGTTGTGCCACTTGACCTGATAGTAATGACACTTAATAAAAAGCAACCGCTTTAACATTAGCAGTGTTGCATTTGATCAGGGGCTACAGGGGAATTCTGTCAGATACTTCATCATGTCCTTCTTTACAGTGAGAACAAGAGGGCAAACATGATTGAAACCACGACCCGGAAACTTTTTCTCTAGTTTGGATTGAAACACAAACTTTCTAATTCCAGCCCTCTGAGAGGACACGGCAACAGACGCTGTTCGTTTGATTCTTCTTCTTCTTTTTCCCCTGAGAGTCTTTAAGCCATTTAAAGACTCTTCTCTGTGGAAACATGACGTCCAGAACACGGCGTGATTGCTTTGTTTGTTCAGAACTTGTTGAAAAAAAGGAGAAAAAGGTGGGAACGAGGACCCTCTCTGGAGATGCCTGTGCTGGAGCATCAGCAACTCTCATGTGTCGGGAGGAGGAAGAGGAGTAACAAGATGTACCCGACGTCTGTAGTGTTAATGTGGTCTCACACACACACACACACACAGGAAAAAAGTCACTTTTAGTGTGTTTCGCTCCAAACAGCAGGGGCTCTAATCTTATATTCCGACGGCGTGGCTCTTTCATCTGAGGGACATGAGGGTGGTTTGTGAGAGGTGGCGGAAATAACACGGGGTTGGATTCCGACTCGTGTTTTTCCGCGGCCCCCGCGAGACAATTTAAGTGCACGCCGTGAAATATTCAGCTGTATTAGCAGTTTGACGCGTGTCAAACTCCGTCACGTCAGCCTGAGCAGTCAGGTCTGGTGGATTCACATTCCTTCTGCTGGCACTCAACAATTTAATTGTCCTTACTTGAAGCCTGGACACCAGGATTTGCCCTTTC